TGATAAATTTCTTAATAAAATTTAAATATAAAAATTAAAATAAATTTTTCTTTAAAATTATATAGACTAAAATAATAATTTTAAATTTAAAGAATAAAAATAAATTTATCTTAAATTTAAGAGATTAAAAACATATTTAAACTTATTTTTTTTAATTACTCATTTTTTATCAAATCTAGTTACTCACACTTTCGTTACATTCGCTTTAATTCAAACAATTTTATTAAAATATTTAATTTTATCTTTTATATAAAATTAAATGCCTACATTTATTTTTTAATTTTAATTATTTTAATATATTTTTTAATCTTCATAAATTTACTTACATTATCTTTTCATTCTTATAATTTAAAATAGATTTTTTATCTCTTTATTTATATTTTTTAATTTTTTTAGTCTTTATAATTTAAAATAAGATTTGTTTTAGTTCTTTTAGTCTTTGTTGTTAATTTTTTAAAATAATATCTCTTTTATGTTAATGTGATAAAAATAGTAATTTTAAATTTGTGTATTTAATTTCGTATTTATTTTGTTAAAGGTTTTTTAAATTTGATCTTTTGATTCTTTGTACTTTTTTTATATCTTCACTTGTAACATTTATTATTGAGACACTCTTTTTTTTTACCCTTACAAAATTAAAAATACAAACTAAAAAGATTTAAAAAATTATAAATAGAAACTAAAAAGATCTAGATTAAATTATAGAAACTAAAAAATTGAAGAAAAAAAATAAGTATACGAACTAAAAATATTTATTTTAAAATATAGAAAATAAAAAATAAAATAAGTAAAATTGTAAAGACTTGAAAATATATTTTAAGAAACAAGTCAATATTTTAAAATGTATTAATTACTATTTTTTTTATGTATACTCCCATGCAAGATATGTATTTATTGATGCATTAACAATATAAATTCATCAATAAAAAAAGTTATTTTTTGATTTATGTATTATAACATTTAATATTATTATTATTTAAATCAATCAATTCAAAAAATACTTTTGTAACGAAATTTAATTTTGTAACATTATTACTGAAAACTAACCGACTTAACTCATAATATATTATTTGTTTCTTATATAAAGGATGGTAGGAAATGATTTTTTTTAATTGAAATTAACATGAACTTTTTTTTTTTGGCAATGTAGATTATTTATAAAAAGGATTAAATCCACTTTTGGTTATGTAATCTTATGAATGTGTTATTTTTAGTCCCTAAATTTTTTTATTGTAAATTTAATTTGTATAATTTTTGAAATTATGTAATATTAGTTCACCTATTAACAAGTCATAAAATTTAACAAAATTTTTTTATGTATTTGGGAATGATGTTGTCAAACAATTAGTTAAGCACATAAAAAAAATAATAGTATCACTATAAAAAATATGCAATTTACCAACTACCAAAATTCGTCGTTAAATTAAAAAAATCGGTCGCTATTTATCTTAGCGACTGAATTTAATTAGTCGCTAAAACCTTGGTCGCTAAGTTATTTAGCGACTGAAAAAATTTTGTCGCTATTTAGCGACCGAAAATTTCGGTCGCTAAATGGTTGAAATGATTAGTGTATGGGACAAAATTAGTGACCGAATAAATCGGTCGCTAAATATTTATTTTTTATTTTATTAAATTTTATCGACGTTGCAAATTTAGTCTCTATGAACTACTCATATTTGGTCTCTTAAGGATTTTATTTCACAATACTTAAGTTTTTAGCATGTTTTGTCCTTAATTACACAATTTTTGGAAACTTCCCAGAAGGTCATCCATCCCTACATTACTCCAAGTCAAGCACGTTTAACTGTGAAGTTCTTATGAGATAAGCTACCGAAATGCAAATGCATGTTGTTAGTA